CATTCGGATGGCTGACATGTCGGTGATCTTCGCAGCTCAGGTGCACCATCCTCACCACGCCATTCCAGGCATCTACCATCTACCATCTGCTCCGTGGGCTCGGGTGCGAGTATCAACATCCACCATGATCCATGGATTCCGAGAGGCGGCTCCACTCGACCGCTTGGTCAGACCTATGTTCATGGCGTAAACAAGGCCCCGGACCTATTGACAGAGGATGGGACAACTTGGAATGAGGAAATTGTGGACACCATGTTCACCCCGGATGATGCTGCAGATGTGAAGCAAATAGCAATTGAAGGACCGGACCACTAGTAGAAAAAGGACCTTATATGAGACACATTAGTCCCGGTTCGATTTTGGCCCGGTACTAATGGTACCATTAGTACCGGTTCAAACGGCTATGCATTAGTGCCGGTTCGTGTTGAACCTTTAGTACCGATTCGTGCCACGAACCGGTATTAAAGGGGTGGTGGCAGGCTGGTGTCAGCCGGGGCCCCACGAGCCCCTTTAGTCCCGGTTTGTGGCACAAACCGGTACTAAAGGGCCAACCTTTAGTACCGGTTCGTGCCACGAACCGGCACTAAAGGGGTCTAACCTATAGTCCCGGTTGGAGATACAAACCGGGACTATATGACAATTTTCAAACTTGGAAAAATCATAACTAAATCATCCTAATTAAGAAAAATGCATATAATATATCAAAATTTGCAGAACAAAAAGATTGATCCGCTGAAACAATAAGTGCAGACTTGGAAACGAGGGAGAATAGAACCCGAAAGTTAAGCGTGCTCAGGCTAGAGTACTGAGAGAATGGGTGACCGTCCGGGAAGTTAGATGATTTGGAATGATGAGGGGTGATTAGAGATTAGATATTAAATTGAGCAGTGGTGAGGGGTGATTAGAGATTAGAGGTTAAAATAATTCAAAAAATCGAAAATAAAAAAAAATCAAATATTTTTTACAAAATTTTCAAAAAAAAATTCAAAAAAAATGACAAACCGGTACTAAAGGTCCCCCATACCACGGCGCGAGCTCACGCCACGTGGTGGGCCTTTAGTGGCGGTTCGTGCCGAACCGGTACTAGGGGTGAGTAGAGATTAGATATTAAATTGAGCAAGGGGTGATTAGAGATTAGAGGTTAAAATAATTCAAAAAATTGAAAATCGAAAAAAAATCAAATATTTATTTATAAAATTTTCAAAAAAAAAATTCAAAAAAAAATAACACCAACCGGTACTAAAGGTCCCCCATACCACGGCGCGAGCTTACGCCACATGGTGGGCCTTTAGTGGCGGTTCGTGCCGAACCGGTACTAAAGGGGGAGGGCCTTTAGTCTCCACCCTTTAGTGCCGGTTGCAGAACCGGCACTAAAGGCCCTTACGAACCGGTTTTAAAGCTCCGGTTTCTACTAGTGGACTCAGAGGATTTCCTTGCTTGGAATCTTACAAAAAATGGCATTTTTTCGGTAAAGTCAGCATATCACCTGAGAATGTCACTGAATAGAGCTCGGTCCGGACAGCCGGAATCATCAAGCTCGGCGGCAAGACACAAGGGATATCTTTCTCTTTGGGAGACTAGCGCACCGGCGAAAGTAAAAATTCATATGTGGCGGATGATTCGCAATGGGCTTGCTGTTGGAGTGGAACTCCATCGGCGACGCATAAAACCTGGAGTCTTTTGTGTTGTGTGCGGGAGAGAGGAGACTATGATGCATCGCTTTTGGGCATGTCAACATGCGGTTCAGTTTTGGGAGCAATTGCAACAAAAATTGGGTTTAAGAATGGAATCACCGCCAAGGCATATTGAAAATCATCGAGCTCTCGCATCATGGTTGCTTGACTGGCTTGCCGGGGCCTCTGAGGAGGAGAAGGATATCTTATTGCAGGCGGCGTACGGATTGTGGCTGGCAAGAAACGATGCTAGAGATGGAAAAAGGATAGCTCAGCCACATGAAAAATAGCTATATTAAAGGTGCAGCTCACGGACTGCAAAACTGCACATGAGACGAGGGCGTCACAACCGGAGCCAAAGACCATATAGCGTTGGGAACCTCCTGACGAGGGATGGGTGAAGATCAACACCAACGGCGCGGTCTCAAGACATGGAGACAAGGGAGGAGGTGGTGCGGTATTCAAAGACCACAATGGAGCGTTTAGAGCCGCTCTTTGCCATTTCTTCCCCAATATTGTAGATCCTGAGCAGGTGGAAGTATTGGCTTGCAGGCGAGCTGTACAGATGGCGATCAATCTTCATATCCAGAGAGCTCATTTCGAATTGGACAGCCAAGCTGTGGTGCAGATGCTTAATTGTCCAGACAAGAGTTTATCAGCAGTAGGGCCTTGGGTGCAGGAAATCAAGACGATGCTCAACACGTTGGTGGAAGCCAAAGTTTCTTGGGTGCGTCGTTCAGGGAATGTAGGCGCTCATAAGCTTGCTAAAGTAGGCGTAGGTGATAATCGGTCAGAGATTTGGGTGGGTTCCCCACCAGACTTTTTGCTTGATGTAATTGCAGACGAGATTCCTAGTTTTGTTTAAATAAAGCGGCATGATTTCCCCTAAAGAAAATATTCTGGTCCGTCGTTGACCATGCCAACAATAAGAAGGGCGCTTCCCTAGGGGTGGTGGATGTTGTCATCGTTCCTTTCCCTAACGTCGGGCTTCCCCTTAGCGTTGAGAGCGGGACGGGCCTGACATCCAAGGACTACAACGACAGATTCCTTCGGACGGCAGAGCTGCTCTGGGAGCCCTTCCGCCGCTTCATGTCCGACCACCATGACGAGATCGACGCCGTTGTCTCCCACGGTATCTTCCACTGGTCCGTGGACGACGACTCGGAGCATGGCATCCCGCGCATCACGTTCCTCGGCACCAGCATGTTCCCCCGTTCCTGCACGGAAGCCATGCTGCGCAGCAACCCGTTCGATGTTAGGCAATCCAAACATAAGTTAGTATTAATTAGGTAAGTTGGAGATTACCAGTACGTGTAGTCATGTTTGAGTCCTGTTAGGATTAGTATAAAGTGTGATCAGCGTGGCCGGTAATTAGGAAAGTATGGGCCTTTGCCAGTCAGGTTAGGGCATGTACAATGGTTCTATCTTATGAGTGTCATGTAGGATAAATGATGTTAGAATAAATCCGAGGCCACCGTTGATCATCCGAGGACCAAGCAATCACACGAGCACGACACCGAGATTTGTTAACGAGGTTCACCGATATGGCTACATCCCCGGGGCCTGACTATGGGCGCTCCTCCCCATGACACCGCTACAATACCGCACCCGGTCGCCCTGGACACCGGCACATACCGCCGGCTTTCCCTGCGTTTCGGTGCTATTATGTTGGCATAGGTTACATCGTGTGTCTACCCCCGCTATATAAGAGAGGCCTAGGATACAAGTGTCCTACTAGGACACGACTCCACATCCTATGTAAACACGATACAACTACAAGTCCAACTGTAACCTACCTTGTACACTATATTCGACACAACTCTAACAAACTCCACCTTGGCGAATATTCTTCACCACCTTGAGTTCGTCCATGCGTCAAACTTCCATGTACATTGGACTTGAGTTTATTCCATGAGCACCGCTGCTACTCCAAAGACTCCATGTGACTCCACCTGCAACTTGTAGTCCCTTCTTTTCTTGACCAGAGTCAACACCCGAGCAAAATTAAGTTCCTTGTTACTCTAGCTTGTGCTCCCAACTTTCAGAGTATCAGTCCAACGCCATCACACACTGATCGCTAACCTGCGTGAAAGTGAACAACTCACATATTGGGTGTCACACATAAGAGTTACCTAAACTCAACATCACCGCTCCTTTATTGACCGCCTGTCTGAAACTTGAAGGAAATTCACCATTGCTTGTAGTCATCCCGAGTCAAATTCGCAGTTGTCTCACCACATGTATGACCACCAGAGCCATGGCCCGTCTCCATGTCCCGTGCGTACCGCACGTCTCGCCGCTATTACCGCGTCGAGCCTCCGCTGTCCCTGACGCCTCCGACGGGCGGGCCACCCCGCGTTGCCCGGATCCGAGCGGAGGAGGAAGAAGCCCCCGCCGCCAGCCATCGCAGGGGCTTTGCCTTGGCGGCTCCGGCCATCGGCGGGGGAGGGTGGGGTGGGGACGAGGGACAACAGCTAAAGACGGGGAATGGCGGCGCCATCCGAGCCGCCTGCGGGGTGGCGGCGCGGGGCTGAGGGGAAGGGCAAAGCTTTCGGGAACTCCTACCTGATTTGATTCTGGAAGAGATATTGATGAGTTGATGAACACTTTTTTCACCACATGAACATCTCTCTTTTAAGATCATTTGACATTTTTTCACATACAAAGCACATTTAAAAAACACATGAATATTTAATATTTTTGGGCATAAGTGAAATGTAGGTCACCTCACCTGTATATCACCCATATGTTTATTTAGACATAATACAAATATATAGTTATGTGAAACAAATAGTGTCACACTATTGAAACTGTTATGGGCACACATAGAAGCTGGAAAGGCCACAACACAAAATCCAAATCCCCGCAAAACACACACACACACAGAATCCAAACGAAGGCCCGTGCTTTGCCAACAACAACGGCACATCACTCCTTATTGTGGCTCAATGTAAACTTGAGGAGTAAGTTATCAGATGTAGCACTCGTAGAGCTTGATGTCCATCTGCAGCCGGAAGTACACTGTTCCCTCGTAGGCGTCAAGGCGGAGGGTGGCGATGCCGCGCGTCATGAAGAAGTCGCCCGTGCCGCCAACCACAGAGATGTCCCTCGTGACCTCGTACATGAGGTCCGCGCCCATGAGGTTGATGGTGCCCGTGGCGGCCGTCGAGTTGAAGACGATGGAGAAGCCGAACCACGCATTGTACGACTCCTTCTTGTCATAGAAGTAAAACCCCTGAGCGCGTATCGCCGGCTCTTCCCCCGCCTCCGCCACGGGCAGTGCCTTCCCGACAGTCACGGGGTCATCGAACACCACGAGCGTGCCGAAGAAGGTGCCGTTCTTCCAGTGCGTAGTGCTCAGCGCCGTCGGCTTGGTCGCGGCTGCGGAAGTCGCGTTCGCGCTGTTGTTGGCACCATTATAGAGGATGTCGTGGAGGTAGAGCGTCATCTCCTTGCACGGTTCGTCGGAGCTGCTGGAGATGACCCTCCTCCGGCCGTCGGAGTGGTCGGCCATGCCGATCAGGAACACAACGACAACGACGGTCAGAGACAGCATGGAAGATGCCGCGAGGCCTTGCATTGTTGTCGGCGCAACTATTAATTACCAGTGTAAAAACCGAACTTTGTGTAGAGCAGTGGGGAGCTGGTGTTGAGAGTTCGATCCACCTGTGCATGCCATATATAGGGAGCCGAGAGAGAGAGAGACAGAGAGTAGGGTGCCTTGAGAACCGTAGCACATCAATCAGAAAGTTGGTACACCAAATATGGGCACGGTGCGTGGTAGCTAGATACTGTAGGCATATCATCGGCTTACCAGAAAAATCAACCACACTTTTTCCAAAATTTAAAGAAAACGACCGGGTGTTTGCCTATATGACAAGCAAAGTATCTTCCCCAAAAACAACACAAAAGACAAGGAAGTATTTCGCACGTCTCCAAACACGCTCTAAAAGCATAGCATGCTTTGAGCGAAACCTCAGCGATTTTTTGCTTTCAGTGAAATTTTATAGAAATCTAGTATATCTTTTTTTTTTTGTGGGTGCAGAGTCTGCTATATCTAAGAGAATAATGGCCACTAAGTTATTTATCTCAACAAGCAAGCATTGCCATCTCATCATACAATTATGAATGTGACAGTGCTCACCTTAACATGCAATCATGCATGAGAAAAACCCACCACAACATTCAACCATGCATGGAAAAATGTTGTTATTAAATCATACCACTGATATTTAATAAATATTGTTACAACTATGGATAATAAAATTTAAAAAGTCGCATATATTTTAAATTTTGGTTCTCATGTTGTCAGCCCAAATTTTCATCAATTATTATCACAACAAGGCACAGAGTATCCTCTAGTTTCTTTATTTTCAGTAACTATCTTTCTGTCAAAATATATCAGCAATTTCGATAGTACATACAAATTCATTTTTTTTAAATATATGGTCTAATCGTAGTAAAATTCAATTGAAAATTTTGGTCATTTCGCCGAAAAAAAAAACGAAATCACTGAATTTCAGAGCAATTCAATGATTTGGCCAATAGTTGAAATATTTTTTTAAATTGAAATTCAAAACCTTAGTACCGCTACACAATTGTACAAAAACCTGAAAGTAGAGTCCTATTTCCATTCATATATCAAGTTATCAACACATTTTTAGCTCAAAAACTCCGTTGTGACGCACAAATGGATGGTGACGGTCATCCGGAGCTCAATCACACGGTTGCTGGCACTGAACTTCTTTGTTTTGCGACATGCATGCCTCCTCTGGTGCTGATCCCTACCGCTGAACGATCAACTACAGTGCACCGACATAGTCGGAGCAACATGCATTGAACTTGCCCAATTTCAAGGTATACGATCGTCGTACCATGATCGTTCTAGGTCAATTCCTTCAACCAACAGGTCAGTTTTCTCTAGAAAAATGGCGCTGAGAGCAGCAATAACAGTCTCTATCTAGTAGGTTGCGGATCAAGTTTGCTGCTGATGGAATGGTTGGGATGCGGCCGACAAGAGCATGGAGGTCAGTTACACCATAGGAAAAAATGTTAAGGGTCACCTCTATACTTCCTAGTGGCGGGGCTAGCATCGAATTACGTCTTAGGTTGTGCTAGCTTGAGCGATGAAATTTCGTGATTTTCTCACTGTTAAAGTTACGACACGGCGTAAAGATCAAGGAATTTTGGGTGAAAATCAACTTCATGGATCGACTCCCGTCCCTCGTCTTCTACTAGTGGTTTAGGGGGTGGAACAGTTCCCATTTTAGCCAATATTCTTATTCCAGGTTTTGTTTGGCACAATCTGCTTACCTTATAGAAATTATATCGAGCGAACATCAGGTCGTCATCTCCTTGGCCTCTCCACGAGACACACTTCCGATGGTTTTTAAACAATAATTACACACTGCATTGAACATGGGGATTACAACATGTACACACGTGGAAACCATAGAAGACTACTAGAAAGACCGGTGACATGAAGCTAACCACCGCCGGGAACAGGGGAGCGTATCCACCACACTCAGATCTGGTAAAGCACCTTTCGACTATTAACCGTGTTCGCTCAAACCCACACCACCTACTCCACTCATCATTTGGTCGCCCACACAGCACAACCTAGATAGCAGACCACCTGCTCCTCACTGTTTGGGATCTGAACATGGAAGCCACCGCATAGCAATGGAGCTCCCTGCTATCATTAGAGGGAGACCTTCTACCTTACTCGTTGGCTCCCTAGCCCCCTATTGTGCTCCCATCCATTCCATGTCTCTGCAATATCATGGAGATTTGCCTCAAGAGAAGCACAAATAACGGCTTGGTGAGTCAATTTGCGGCAAAGGGGAGGCTCCAAGCCACCCTACAGCTGGTCGATCTCACGGTTGACAGGATATTCGAGACACAGACACGGATGCTCCAAACGAGGGCAAGACATCGGTGGCATCACCTATATCTTGGTTCCTTTGGGGCAAGTGCCCGTAGACGGTGGCTCCAGACCAAAAGGAGAAACAACAGAGTGGTGGCGACATGCAAGGAGCGACAACATGTGGCTCGTAGTAGAGAACCATGGTAGTAGAAGCACATGGCCCAGAGGAGAGGCATCAGGGAGCATTAACATAGGCTAGCGGTGGTGTGCAACGAGCAGATTGAGATGACCTGCATCGGTGTGTCGATGAGCCACAGCACGTGACCATGGCTACGTGTTGAAGGTCCGCATAAGGAGTATCATAGGGC